TGATAACTACATTGTTGAGATATAAGATGCTAAGATTTGGAGAAGATGGAGTATACTTGAATTTTCTGTCCTATTCTTGCAACTTTTTAAGTATGATACTATTTCAAAATAAAAACTTAAGACTATAAGAATATCTAAAAGAGGGGCTGGGGATTTAGCTCAGTGGTTCCGCTGCCTACAATGCAAGTGCAAGGTTCTAAGTTTGATCTCTGGTACCGAGGGGTGGGGGGTGGGGAGAATATCTAAAAAAAAATGGCATAATAAAAGATCATTTTTATATTCTAACTACTCATTATATTCCTGAAGAGCATCTTCTGATTCCTTATTTAAAAAAATTAATTTTATGGTACATTTTAGGTAAATAATGACATTCATCATTGGAAATTTGTACCTTTACATAGTTTATCTCGGTTATTTTTTCCCCATTCCCTTGCCTTCCCTTTAACCCCTCTACCCCTCCCTATTTACAAAGACTTTATTTCCATTTTTTCCTTTTCTCATATTAATTCCACACCTCCCCCTTGGTTTTTTGAGATAGGGTCTCACTGTGTAGTTCAGGCCACCCTTGAACTTCCTATGTATTCCAGGGTGGCCTGAAACTCACGGTGATCCTCCTGCTTTAGCCTCCTAAAATGCTAGGACTATAGGGAAGCGCCACCACACCTGGCATTTTTTTTTTTTCTAACGAAAGGTCTAGGCTTGCTTTGAACTTGCTGTCTAGACAAGACTGGCCTGAACTTCCCATCTTCCTGACTCAGTCACCCACTGGGATTACAGACGAGGGTCATTTCCAAATTTGAACTATATACTCTAAAGCAATTTAAAACTATGTAATCTTTAAAAGTGAATTATGAAATTCAATAATTAAAAAAATTACAAATGTTCCAGAGTGAATTTATACAGTATTTACACATGACCAATTGTTACCTGTCCAGTATACTGTCCAAAATATATGAAAATCTCTTCCCAATTTGGCTCTGTTTAAGTTTAATCTGTTGTACAGTTAAGTTTACTAATAAATAGTATGGATAGAGGCATGAATATGATGAAAATATATACAATGAAACCACGCCAAAACATGTGAAACTGGGGATAGGGAAGGGCCTGGAGGTGAATGATTACAGTCTATCGTGTGCATGTACAAATCTGCTAACATGAAACCCTGTTTAACCAGTATGCATTAATAAAAAATGTGGCAAAATGAAAAAGAAAATTTTTTTTCAAGCAAGGTCTTGTTACCTATTCCAGGCTGGCCTTGAACTCATAGTGATCCTAGTTGGTTCAGCCTCCCAAGTGCTGGGATTACAGGTGTGTGCTACCATACCCATCTTGAAAAGATAAGTAGTTTTGTTTATGGTGTCAAACCAGTTTCCTTCCTTACCAGGGTATCAATTTTATCCGGTTGCCAATTTAGGAACCTGCTTCCAACATTAAATTCAGAATTAGCTGTTGGAAACTCAAACTCATTTCCTCACAGAAACCATATCATAAAGTGGTAGCTGAGTCTCCAGATAGTTTAGAAATGAGCCACCTAAACCTATCTGCACACAAATGTCAGTTCCAATATAACAAATAAAATCAGAACCAAATGCTCATTGATAAATAGGTTGCTTCTCTAGTATTGTCTTAAGAAGGAAGCCAGTCACAGACCTTCCTTATCTCCTTTTCTGAAGACCTCAATTTATGGTTTATTATTCCCATATCCTAGCCAGCCATCGGTTACTCCTAATTTTCCCACTCCCAACCCCTGCACGGGAATGAATGGGCTCAGGTGGTAGTGGCAATGCTAGGCCACAGTTATACACCTGTGTCCAACATTGAAGAACGAAGAGGACAGGCAGAATTAAGAAGTCTGGCCTGGGGATGTATCTCAGGGGTAGGGTATTCCCTTAGGGTGCATAACTCTGGGTCTGGGTTAAATCCCTAGTTTTTGTTTTTGTTTTTTTGAGGCAGGGTTTTGCAATGTAGTTCAGGCTAGCCTTAAACTTACTACATAGCCCAGGCTGGCCTTGAATTCATGGTAATCCTCCTGCCTCAGCCTCCAGAATGCTGGAATTACAGGTATATGCCCAGCCCCCAATACTTCTAAATAAATAAATTTATTTCATATATTCCTGTGCATGTATATGATAAATTATAGTAACATTCAGTCTCTGCCCCATATCATTTTTTCACTTCATCAACATTAGGGGTACACACGAGACTCGATTTGGTCAATGAATGAAAATGAACAAACAGTAACCGACTGATTGAATTGAATGATTTTTGGCAGTACCTAAGACTCACCCCCAGGGCCTTTGCACTGAGTTATATCCCCAGCACTTTTAAAAACTTTTTATTTTGAGCCGGAGACTTAGCTCAGTGGTTCGGTGGCCTGGCTTGCAAGCGCAAGGACCCGAGTTCAATCCCCGGTACCAAAAAACCAAAACAAAACAAAACAAAACAAAACAAATCCCTTTTTTTTTTTTTTTTTTTTTGAGACAGGAGCTTGGAAAGTCACTAGGTTGTCTAGGGTGGGCTTGAACTGGTGATTCTCCTGTCTCAGTCTCCCAGGGTGCTGGGTGTAAACCACCAGCCCAGCTGCCAGTTTCTTCTTCTGTAACTTCTAAACTAAGAGTTTATAGTGGCTGGGCGTGGTGGTGCATGCCTGTAATCCCAGCGCTCCCGAGGCTGAGGAAGGAGGATTGCTGAGTTTGAGACCCGCCTGGGCTACATAGTGAGTTCCAGGTCAGTCTCGACTACATAGTGAGACCCTGTCTCAAAAAACCAAAGTTTATAAAGGCTGGGGATTTAGCTCAGTGGTTCTACCACCTGCCATGCAAGCACAAGGACCTGAGTTCAATCCCCAGTACCAAAATAAAATAAAATAAATAAATAAAAAATTAGAGTTTATAAATTGGGGGTTATGTTATGTTATAAGTAATCCCAAATGCAACATCTACATGTTAAAAATACGTCATTATCTATAATCTGGGAAAGGAAAGGTTTCAAATTATCCTTGGCTTTTTCATTTTTAAAATAACTCTTCTCTTGCTTATACATAACCATTTTTACAAAACCATTTTACTCCAAATACAAGTCACTTCAGACATATATTTAGACACTGGAAAAAAGAATAAGGGGAAAAGATGGATTAGAATCACTCTTTAATGGGCCTGAGGATTTAGCTCAGTGGTTCCAACACTTGCCTTGCAAGTGCAAGGTCCCAAGTTCAATCCCGGGTACAAAAAAAAAAAAAAAAAAAAAAAAAAAAAAAAAGGAGGGTAAAAGAAAAGAATCACCCTTCAAGACTGAGGATAACAATAAGGTAAGAAATACTATTTCACACATTACATACAACAGGACAAAGAGAAACTTAGTCAACAAAGTCATACACAGGAACAAGTTGAAAAACATGCTACTAAATTAACCACTTAGAAGTCCAAAAAAATACAGGATGAAAAGGATGACCAAAAACTGCATATTTTTCTTTTTTTATACAGGGTCTCACTATGTAGGTGAGACTGAACTGGAGCTCACTATGTAGCCCAGGCTGGTCTTGAACTCACAGTGAGCCTCCTGCCTCAGCCTCCCGAGTACTGGGATTGCATGTGCGCACCACCAAGCCCGGCTTTTTCATTAAGTTTTATAAGATAATAGGAAAATATAAAAACGATTTTATCAAATTTATTCAAACTTTTCTTTGTATAATATACCTTAAAACGTTCAATATACAATACAGTGTTACAATCTGGACAGTATTATCTGGTCTCTTTCGGAATTCTTTTGCCATTATTGTCTTCCTTTGAGGAACACATTTTACACCATCATGTGGGCCTTTCATTTTTTTGTGGATGGTGTAATCCCAATAAAAAGTTTACCCACTAAAAATAATGGTGAAGACATCGATACTGGTCATTTTGGTTGGCGTTTCACTGTCCCATATTTTTCAATTATTTGGTCTACTAGACCTAATCTAAATTGTAAATGACTTTTTTGAACTTGTTTTCTTGAATAAATAATAAGTGAGTTCCATACTGTTGGTTCCAGAAGGTGCATAAATATTTTATAATATTGTTCTTCTCATTTTGCAAGATAGCTTGTTAGATGCTGGTCAACTATGTCAATACCATACCTAGAGTTATAATTTGTTTCTTCTTTCAAATTCCATCATTTCTGTATTATACATAGGTGACAACAGGGAGAGATCTTTCTTGCCTTTCCATTTCATGACATAGACTTTTCCTCTGAAATGTTAACACTGCTCCCTTTCGCAGATTTTTTTGGCATTTCCTTCTTATTCAGCCTCAGTGTTCCAAACATGTCCATTTTGTATTGTAAAAGAGTATCACTCAGTTTGGGAAAAGTATAAACATTTTATCTAATGTACTATAAGAGTTTTATAGACTGCAGCATAAAACTGTAAATTATTCTTCATAAATAAACACAAATTAGTGAAAGAAAATACTGAGAACTTACTAGGTTTCATTAGAAACAAACATCAACAGTGAATACAACATTCTAAATTCAAAATTGTAGTATGCCGAAAACAGTCATAGAAAAAAATGTATGACTGTATCTTGTTCAAACAAAAATCGACGGGTTAAAATGGCACCTGCCTGAGGGATGCCTGGTACAGTCAATACTTAAACCCAGTGCTTGAGTGACACCCAGGGTTCAGGGTAAACTGTTTAAGTGGTTAAGCGATCTAATATCTTCACTCACACAATAGAGCAATGTTGTTTAACAAAACAATGAATTAAAAATTTAGGTAATACAGATACTATAATGTACAGCAAATGTGTACTAATAAAAATTTAAGCCAGGCATGGTAGCACATGCCTGTAATCCCAGCACTCAGGAGGCTGAGGCAGGAGGATCGCTGTGAGTTCGAGACCAGCCTGGGCTACATAGTGAGTTTCAGTTCAATCTCAACTACATAGCAAAACCCTGCCTCAAAAAACCAAAACCAAACCAAACCAAAACAAAAACAAACCAATAAAACCAGCATTCAGACTTACCGTAATAGTAGTTCTTTGGGAAGTTTTTTATTGATTACAGCTTCATCACTATTTGAGAACATCTGCAAAAACAAAATACATCAAGTGTTATTTAACATTTTACTAAGATCGACTCAACAAGTTAGAGGTAACTCTCATAGGAGAGAAGTACCAAAGTTAAACTATATTTTCAGAGATGCTTTGGGTTGAAAATATCAAGGCATTCAACTCATTCCTTGTCTGTCTTTTTTTTTTAATTGATACTGAGAATCGAAGTAGGGACCTTGCCCTTGTGCGGCAGGCAGCGGAACCACTGAGCTAAGTCCCTGGTCTCTTATTCCTTGTCTTCTGAGATGAAAAGCTAACAGCAGTTAGAAGAATTAGTGTGCGCAAGACAGTTTCATGTATTTTTTGTTTTTCATGTTCATACTATCCCTATCATTTTACAGATAAGGAACGAAACAAAAACATTTACCACTCAAGTCTCATTATCATGGAGTTATCATCTTTGTTTGTTTTTTTGAGACGGGGTCTCACTATGTAGTTGAGACTGACCTGGAACTCACTATGTAGCCCAGGCTGGTCTCCAACTCACAGCGATCCTCCTGTCTCAGCCTCCAGAGTGCTGGATTACAGATGTGAGCCACCACACCCAGCATGGAGTTATCACCTTTAAATCCCAATGAGATAAGATGTTCTCCAAACCTGGCTCACATATCCTCTTCAAGGAAGTGGTCAGAAGCCCACAGTGGTGTACATTCCCTTTTGTGATTTAGACACCATGCAGAAAACCAAGAATGCTTCATAGCCCCATAAACTGTGCTGATTCTCTTTTCCTTCTCCCCCTCCACCCACTTTTTGAGACAGGGTTTCACTATGTAGTTCAGGCTGGCTTTGAACTCGATTCTCTTGCCTCAGAGATTCTCAAGGGTTAGGACTGCAGATGCACACCACTGTGCCAGTCTACCACCACAGCATTCCTGGGTGTGTTTTCTGAGATAAGGTCTTGCTACATAACTCAGGCTGGCTTCACACTTGATAATCATCCTGCCTTAACCTCCAGGGTGCTAGGATGTGGTGGCACCGGCCCATAATTTCAGCTATTACTTGAGGCATGAGGGTCTGAAGTTTGAGTTCAACCTGGGCAACCTAGCCAGATGCTCTCTCCAAAACAAGCAAGTTGTTTTTTATTTTAATTGTGGAAGATATAGCTCAGTGCAAAGGTGTTGGGTTCATCTGCCAGTACTGCAACATTAACAAAAAAAACCTACATAGTAATTTTAATAACCAGCCAGGTAAATGGAAAGCTCTGAAAAGGCAGGAAACATGCTGTTATATTTGCCCCATTTCCAAGGTTAAGCACAGAGCCTGATACAAGATGGGAATTTAAAGAGGTCTCTAAATTAACAAATCACACATGTTTAGCTTGTCCTTGCCATCCTCTTACCTCAGCCTCCTAGAGTGGCTGAATTACTACAATGAAGTGAGACCATGCCCTGCTGGAAAAGCGGATGGTGTCACTAGATCGTAAAGAAAATCTTTATACCACCCTAAAAAATGGGAACAAAGCAGAGAAGGGGAGCCCAAAGAAACTAAACCCTGGCCAGGTGTCTCCCAGCACCTGGAGGCTAAAACACAAATATCTCAAGTTTGAAGACTTCCCCATCGGTTTTCAAATCCCCATCTGGCATGTTTTGGGGATTAGTTTAGTAACATACTAAATTTAAGTGCTTCACTAACAAACAAAATTCAAGAAACTACTTCAAGAGACTTTAGACATAGAATTTGGGTGGAAAAGAGCACGCAGATTATACAAAACAGGAAAGAAATACTTGCTTAACAGTGACCTTTGTTGTTTAAAGTTATGAAGTCCTTAACAGGGTATTCAAAGTCCTGACCTAGCCAGGCGTGGTGGCCCACGCCTGTAATCCCAGCACTCCAGAGGCTGAGGTAGGAGGATCTCTGAGTTGAGACCAGCCTGGGATACATAGTGAGTTCCAGGTAAGTCTCAACTACATAGTGAGACCCTGTCTCAAAAAAACCAACCAACCAACCAACCAACCAACCAAAGGCCTGACCTATGTTATTCTAAATGGTACACAATTTTTAGTTACCACAGTTGCATTTTCCTTGCAGCTAGAAATGTCCTAATAATTATCCTGGTCAAATAATATATAAAAAAAGTGATGTGTGCAGTTTCAGGAGTGTCTTGAAAGGAGAGAAGGTGTGCTGTTGCATTTTTCCTTTCTCAATGAAAATATTTAAAAACTTTTTTTCAAGTTTTTGAGATAGGGTCTGGCCACGTAGTTCAGCTTGGCTCAGCCTGGCCCAGAAGTCAAAGCAATCCTGTTTCAGCCTCCTGAGAGCTGGGATTACACATGTGCACCAGCACACCTGGTTTCCTTGCTCATTTCTGCCATTCAGAATTCAGATAGGATGACTGGATCTCATCTCATGAAATTGAAGGCCACAGCTTAGGCAGAAAATTGGGAACAAAAAGTCTGCAAACAACTCTAGGGATACACTGCCAATGAAAACAGCATCTATATCTGGACTTTATACGGAAGAAAATAAAATTCTAATATTTTAGGGTTTTTTTTTGTTGTTGTTGTTTTTTTGCGCGGTACTGGACATCAAACTCAGGACCTTGCTCTTGGGAGACAGGCAGCAGCACCACTGAACTAAATCCTTGGCCCCTGAAATTCTATTACTTTAGAGCCATTTTTAATTTCAACCTCTGAAAAGTGCAGCTTCACTTACATTTGGATATTAAGAGATATCCTTTTGTTTTGCAAGACAAAGAACTGTACATTAAAAATACATTAGCTAAGGGCTGGGGATTTAGCTCAGTGATTCTGGCGCCTGCCTCGCAAGTGCAAGGACCTGAGTTCAATCCCCGGTACCAAAACCAAAAAAACCAAAAGAAACATTAGCTAGGGCCAGGAATTTAGCTTAGTGGTTTCACAGCCTACCTTGAAAGGGGCAAAGGTTCAGAGTTTGATCCCTGGTACAAAAAAAAAAAAAAAAAAAAAAAAAAA